GTCAAGACCACTGGAGCTCCGTCCGCGTTTCCCCAATCTTGCCAACAGGATAACAAATATTCAGCGGTCGTCTATATTCCCGTTCCATTAAAGAACTGTCAGTGGCCAAAAACTCCCAGCATCATAGTGTCTTTCAAGCAGGCACATGTTTCCTAAATAGGAAGATTCAATCTGAGGACTAACATAAATTTGTTAACAAAAAAACTCATTATGCGAAATGCGAGATATTAATATATGCCTAGACCTGCATATATTTATCAATTTTTAACATGCTTAGCGGTACTAAATAACAAAGTATTGTATAGGCATAGTAATGTAGACCTTAATTTTCTGTCAGCTAAACAGTATAACCACGCCCCTAACAGTATTAATCACTATAATTAACAGTTATGACTCATTGCCAAACACGGATACCAAACATCGATGGTGCTCCAACTTTGTATATTTTTATCATCCAAAACACGCAGTATGTTTTTTCTTAGTATAAACCCAAACCAAATTTAATCATTAACAGTATTATCAATAGCTAGCTGATCATTTACAAGCAGGCCAAATAATGCAAAGTCCAACATCTGTCAATGGCCAAAAACTGTCGGCGTCATAGTGTCTTTCAAGCAGGTACATGTGCCCTAAATAGGAAGATTCAATCTAAGGACTAACATAAATTTGTTAACAAAAAAACTCATTATGCGAAATGCGAGTTGTTAATATATGCCTAGACCTGCATATATTTATCAATTTTTAACATGCTTAGCGGTATTAAATAACAAATTATTGTATAGGCATAGTAATGTAGACCTTTATTTTTTGTCAATTAAACAGTATAACCACTCCCCTAACCGTATTAATCACAATTAACTGTTATGACTCATTGCCAAACACGGATACCAAAACATCGATGGTGCTCCAACTTTGTATATTCTTATCATCCAACACACACAGTAATTATGTTTGTCTTAGTATACGCCCAGACCAAATTTAATCATTAACAGTATTTTCAATAGCTAGCTGATCATTTACAAGCAGGCCAAATGATGCAAAGTCCAACATCTGAATATTTGTACATCGACCTGTCCACATTTAGTCATTAGTTAATTTTTCTTCTGAAAATAATAATAAGCAGCATAGAAGACGTATTTTTCTGAAGGGATCGAGACATGGCATCTCCGGCTGAAGTGCAAGCAGAGCCTGCTATAGAATTTAGTGATCACCGCAACAGTGGTAAGTCTGGTACACCAAACACGAAGTATGGTTCGGTATACGACGTCGTTGATGATGAAGATGATGAAGGAGAAGGCACCTGCGGATGGCTAGGCTTCCGTCCATCCTGTATCAAAGTGTTCAACCGCCCGCAAGGATATCTTTTCTTCTGGTGTATGTTTGCTCTTGCTCAAGGCATGGCCATCAGTGGGTTAGTATACGCATCCATAACTAGCATAGAACGTCGTTTTAATCTCACTAGTGTCAAAACTGGTACAATCTCTAGTGCATATGATATAGCTGTACTTTCTGTTATTCTCTTCGTAACGTACTTCGGAGACCGAAGTCACAAACCTCGTCTTCTCGGGATTGGAGCTGCAATATTTGCCGCCGGTTCATACTTGTATGCCCTTCCCCACTTTCTTTCCGGAGAATACAAAGACAAAGACGCTATCGAGCAATTATTAACGTGCAATGCAAATAGAACACTAGATGATTGCAACGAAACTATAGAAGATGATGAAAACTTGTCCCGATTTTATTGGATATTCATCACGGCACAAGTGCTTCATGGACTCGGTTCTTCGCCTGTGTATACACTGGGATACACTTTCATGGACGACTGTGTAATGCCAGTAGATGCACCATTCTATTATGGTGAGTTAGACAGCCCAAGAATCAGTATGGTTTTGTCATTTTCATAGACACACATATTTCATATATTTCATAACACAAAAAGTAACATTAACAAAATGCATTTTTAAAGGTAGACTGTTTAAAAATTGACTTTGTAAGATGGTTCACTTGTATTTTAAGAAATTGATTTATATTTTTACGTACATTTAAAGTCAAGCATGTTTATTTTTATTCCATCTTAACTATATTTGATTGTATGACAAAATAATTAAAAGTATAATGTTGAATACATTCACCTGGTTCCAAGTTACGTTGCAGGTGCACTATTATTATCTACATTTTTTGGTTCAAGATAAAATTTAAAAACTCGAACAATTAAAAGTATGTTTTAAGGAAGCAGATGACCTATCTTATGCCAGTTTATACCAATTGTGATATCGATGAAATAAATAGTTACCCGCTAATAAAATTAAACAGTTAAAAATGTATGCTTTGAATAAGAAATGTGGCTAGGAAGATGCAATTCAATTCCACCAGTGTGGAGTTTCAACTTAATACTTTATAGTTTATTGATATTTTACAGGTATTTTTAATTGCATGGCTATATTGGGTCCATCATTCGGTTACATCTTTGGTGGACTTTTACTGACCCTGTACACAGATTTATCAGTGGACGCAGAGAAAGAGTAGGTTAAAAAAAACAATTTGGTGTATATGTTTTGCGATAAAGTTATAACCGTTATACACGTAAATGTAGTACACGCATTCATTCATGGTGGGCACCCGGAACATTCCTAGCTCGGTTACCGGAAGTCCATAAGTGGTTTAATGTAGATCTTTACTCAAGGAACATTATAAACTCTGAGCTCAATGTTATATTTCGATGTGAGTTTGCGTCAGGAAAATATCATAGTAGTAATGCTTTCGTATTTTCCCCAAATACTTACGAAAAAATCGCAAGTGATTCGGGTGGGAATCAAGGCCACGTCCTATAGATAGGTTAACTAGCCTGATGCCACAACCACTAGTATCGAGCTTACGCTTAGTGACTAGTGTTGAATTCGATGCCCAAGTAGCAGCGGGTACTGCAAATGCTATTTCGATATGAGTCAGGAAAATATCATAGGAGTGATGTTTTGCTCTATAACAATGTCATACAATAGAATTTGTGTAGGTAGTGTGTCCATGAATCTTGTTCATTTTTTTTTTCATTTCAGATTTGGCATCACCCCTGATAGTCCAACATGGGTTGGCGCTTGGTGGATCGGTTTCTTGATCACTGGAACCATCAGCCTATCAATTGCCATCCCCTTTCTCGGTTTCCCAAGAAATCTCAAAGGTATCGTTGAAATTAGCTCCTCAGATCTTTTTATTCATTTGTAAATTCAAATCCGTCTTACACATTCACATGTCCAGCACGAGAACATACTTAAATATTGCTTTGGTTGACTTTATCTCAGTTTGAGTTGTCTGCTTTCCAGCAGACCCACTTGAATAATCTTCCAAAGATCACGGTTTTGATTTAAGAGTATTTTACAGTTTTCGAAAATTACCATACGAAAAATTACTATAATGATCTTGCAAATCGACATGTTTCTGTACATTATCAACAAAAAGCCAGAAACGAAATCTAAATTTGTAGGCCTACACACTTGTGAAAATATTTACAATATTGTTAACGGCCCCTAATCAAAATATTATTATTGCTTATTCAAAGGTCATAAGAAAATTGTAGCAGAGAGAAAATCACAATCACATGGAGGGGTGGAGTTTAAAACTAGAGCAGGTTTTGGAAACAGTTTCAAAGATTTTCCAATTGCTGTTGCTACACTTTGTCGCAATGGGCCGTACATGTGTATCACCGTGGCCGCCATTTTGGAATTCGGCATTTTATCATCTCTGTCAACGTTTATTCCAAAATTCTTGGAGTCACAGTTTAGCATTTCGTCCAGTCAGGCTGCTATTATTATCGGTAAGATAGCTTCAAATTAATTTATTATTTCAAATTATCTGTGTTCGATTGAGTGGCCGAGCAGTAAGGCAGGAGCGTCGCCTTAAAATCGTGTTTTTAGAACCAAATCTTCTCGGATAAAGAGGTCCAGTTTACATATCTGACTCGTTTTTGCCCTTTAAAGAACCAATTGCATCTTTCGGAAGAGTAATTGGGGGTTATCGTGATGATATGGTTCATTTCAGCCCCCGTTGTGGAATGATGTGAATTTGTAACTACTATAAGCGCCTCTTTACGGTCGGCAGGTATTCACGGACCACGCCCATACGCAATACAGCACAATACGCTGCGAGTTATATGTTATTCTCCTACCTTTACCCATTTTTAAAAATCTTTTATTCATTAGGTCAAAACAAATGCAGCCGTTACAACAACAAAAAAATAATGTTCCTTTATTGTCTGAATATTTGATACATTATGTAGAACGGAAGTAGTTACGAAGCTATGTGCTTGCCTACCAGTAAGGGACGTGGGTTAAATTCCTGCGAATATCCGACTTATTCATCAACCCATCAACCCAACCCATTTTCTAAGTATCTTGAAAGGGCTTAATTTATAGAAATGTATAGTAGGCCTATCTTTAGGCAATGTTCGAGTAACACAGGTGTTATGAAGATGATATTTCCATTAAAATATTATTACTAATTGTATTACTAAGCAAAATTAATTTGAATGAATAAAATAACAGATAATAAATAAAATAATAAAAAAAAATATTTTTCTATAATTGTTTTTACTTAGGATTCATTGTTATACCGTGTGCATTGGTTGGTTCCATTCTCGGTGGCTGGCTAATGAAGAAACTCAAGCTGGACGTTGGTGGCGCTCTCAAATTTGTCATTATCTGTTTAGTTATTTCAACTGTAATGTTTTTAGCCTTCGTTGTTTACTGTCCGAATGCTACATTCGCAGGTGTCACTGTGGATTATAATAACAAGTTAGTACCAGATTAGCTTTTTTGAATATTTTTTAAAGCTATACCGTCTTATGAAACATATTAACATATTTAGGTAGGGCCTATGTTTAATTAACTTTAATATTATAGTAGTATTATACATTTTCATATCCTGTTGCACACTGAAAGTTAATAGCGTATTTGGTCCCTTCAAAGAACCTATTCTGTATTCAGGATATTTACAAGTAATGCGCATTGCAATGATTGATGCTGAATCGACCAATGTAAGAACAATTTGAACTTCAACTTTTCTGATGATCTTCAATAAAAAGTAAAATAAAAATAAAGTACCGGTATAGGTTGGATTATTGCAATGATGTAATTAGTTGTAAGTTCCATTCAATAGTAGAATAAAATTATAAAGTGGATGTTATGATTTGATGTCTAATCTTTTTTTTTTTTTTTTTTTTTTTTTTTTTTTATTTTTTTTTTTTTTTTTTTTTTTTGTAATTATGTACCAACACAGAAGCATACCGATTGCAGAAGGGGATGGGAATTTGACAGTTGACTGTAACGTAGACTGTCAGTGTTCGGGCTCATATGATCCAGTGTGCGGAGCAGACCACGTGATGTACTATTCAGCCTGCCATGCCGGTTGTAAAAATTTCACCAAAGAAAACGACAAAGTAAAATTATTATTCTTATATTTAGAAACTTTTCTTAAGTAGATAAACAGTTGACTACTTTTTCTTGTGATTCTTCACTAACGCTTGGTCCACAATATAGAACTATTAATAAGTCTAGTAGTTGAGAGTGAAACAAAATTTTTTTTTTTCTAAGGCAAAGCCCACAAATTTGTCAGGTTTAGATCATACCTTATAGTAAATACGTTATCATTGTTACGATACCGGTTCAAATTGATCGAACAGAAAGAAATCAAGACTTTTGTGATATTTACAAATAATACATTTATTTACAACGAAACCTTCATTAAAGAAATGTATGAAACAAATTTAGTAATTGGAGGTGGTCGGAGCTAAAGCGACAACCTAAGTATGTTACTGAAAATAGCAAATGCATCTCAGAGTGCAGGGAGGACAGAAGTCAGAAAAAATAGTATATCCATTTCATAAATATATTGGGTTGTCTTCACTGGAAATAAAAGATTACAACTGAAAACTTTTTTTAGAAACTCTTAGCAAAAGGGTGTGTTACTTTGCATATTCGGGGTCCTGTCCAATCAGGACCACATAGCAACAGATTGATTAAACAATCAGCCAATTATGGGCTACAATAAAGTTTCACATAGACACACAGGTTTAGATCATGCCTTACAGTAAATACGTTATCATTGTTACAATACCGGCTCAAAGTGATCGAACAGAAAGAAATCAAGACTTTTGTGATATTTACAAATAATACATTTATTTACAACGAAACCTTTATTAAAGAAATGTATGAAACAAATTTAGTAATTGGTGGTGGTCGGAGCTAAAGCGACAACCTAAGTATGTTACAGAAAATAATAAATGCATCACAGAATGCAGGGAAGACAGAAGTCAGAAAAAATAGTATATCCATTTCATAAATATATTGAGTTGTCTTCACTGGAAATAAAAGATTACAACTGAAAACGTTTTTTAGAAATTCTTAGCAAAAGGGTGTGTTACTTTGCATATTCGGGGTCCTGTCCAATCAGGACCACATAGCAACAGGTTGATTAAACAATCAGCCAATTATGAGCTACAATAAAGTTTCACATAGACACATAATTAATTAAGTCATAAATATAATTGCTTGGACCAATTGAAAGTATTATTCATATGATTAGAAATTACATTCAGATTTCGTAGATTCACAAAAATACCAAATAAGTGCATTGACCATGGTTGTTATTAAAAGATGGCCGCAGCTTGAGGAACTTACTAGGTGCAATAACATGCTGTACAAATTAAACAAATTAAACTTATGGAAGATTACTTCTCACGAAACGAAAAGTAAAAGTAGTAAAATTATAATATATAATATTAATATATAGAAATTAAGTAAAAATGGCC